GCACCGGCGAAAAAGAAGCCGACTACTGCCAAGCAGAGACTAGCAGCCAAGCTGAAATTGATATAGCACTCTCCTCTGATCTTCTTTGATTACTTTCTGTATCGAAATTGACCAAAAAGGGTAACACGGGTGGTTGTTGGTAATCTCTAAATTGTATTCGTGTTGTATAATTCTGCCGTAATACATTCTCATGATACTTGGGTATGAAATACCTCTTTTAGGGAAAGTTTGCTTGTTTTTCAGATTTGGGCTCGTTAGTTGTATCAAAACTTGTCTCACTTGCACATGTTCATTCTAATAATTTTTTTCATATAGGTTTGCTTGTTTTTTTGCTTTTCTCATACTTGTTACTACTTTGTACGTTGTTTTGATCTGTAACTGCATTTTTAGACTATTTTTTCGTGTTGATTGAGAACTGAATATGTTTTGTAACAATCTAATATGACAGAAAGAGATTTAAGTGTGTTAGAAGTAGAGTTTTGTTTTCTGTGTTGATGAAGTTGATATTTTTGGCAGTGTTCTGCTATTAATTTGTGGATCTAACATTTTTGAAGCTATTAGTTGCGATTGAACTATACAATTTCTTCTTCCTAATAAATAATATCTCAAAATCTTCCAAGGAAATATCATACAGAACTGGTCTAATTCCGCTGAGGTTGTCTTAATAAAATCTTATCCTAAAATCTTGGGTGAGTGGCATGTAGTGAATATGCGTAAACGGTCATGGACCATGCAGTTCAATCGGACCTACCCAGCATGCTCAAATCTGTTCACCTTGTTAGGAATTGTGCAGGAGAGCGCAACCTCAAAAATTCTCCTAAGTTTGGGAGATTTAGCTCACCCAACACGATATGATTCGAAAATTAGGAATCGCAGAGTGGTCGGCATGAGATGACATGTGATTTTTGTGCGCCCTAGGAATTCCATGGAACAAAGTATCGACCGAAGGGCTGTGTTATTCTTCAAGTCATTGTGATAAGTGCCAGTTAAAGGAATCTTGCACGGAAAAGTCATGGTGCTACTTCACCTATAAATCACTGGCTTGATACCTAAGGTTCACGATAAGAACGAAAAGAACAGAAAAATTGCATTTGTTTTGGTGAAAAATTCGAAAAATCGAAGGACTGCTACGCGTTCAAATTCCCGCCGGACATCTGTCACAAATGCTGGCGGCGGGAACGCTTCCACTTGGTTACGGAGTGCTGTCACTAGAAACTCTTTTTGGCCTTTTGACTTATTGCATTAACATCTCACACTTCTACTGCATTCCATATTCTATGGATCGATTTGTCTCTACTTCTTCAAATCGCACGCTTTAACCCGATACTTTCATTGCGTAGCCTGATATGTTCCCGCACCAAAGCGAACTTCTTCCATGCCCCGTCTTTGGCTCTGCGCCTTTTACCTTCTATTGTCCATAGAATGTGGTTTTTAAAAGTTTGTTTCTCTTCAGAACTTTTTTGAGAAACTTTGTAGTTTGTCCGTGTGATCACAACGGACATGGGCTGGGAAAGAATGCAAGGACTTCCCGGGGAGTTTCTTTAAAGGCAGCGATTACGATAGATCTCACAGGGTTTAGAGGGGACGTGGGTCTCAATAGTACGCCAATGGCGAAAAAAGCAAAGAAATCCGTCAAAAATAAGCAAAATAGTACCCCTTTGATTGCCCTTTCATTTTCGACCATGGATGAGCGACGGTAAAGAATGACGTTGTTCGGACGTGTTAACCCCGATAGCTGCCATCATGCCAACAAGCATAGTGTTTAAAGGCAAAAGTCGGGCTCAATAAGGGGGTATTATGGCGATTGAAACTGAGTATAGAGATGCGAAGTGGAACGACAGTGGAGAAAAAACTGAGAAAAACCGTCGACAAGGCCGTTAACAAAACCCTCTTTCCCACTAGCAGTGAAGGAGGCTGGCTTGGGGAAAGAGGCACGTACAAACAAGTTTTCTGGAGATGTCAGTCGTTCTATCGGTTGATACGGCAATCAACCTAGCTGATTTCACACGTTATGCCAGCCACGCACCACTTCCGGAGGGTGGGCGGTCCCGGATTGACGAGGCGGTCCCGGATTGAAACCGAACGCCCGGGGGCCTTAACGGACGTTTTTCAAGGTGGGAAGTTGCTGCAATGTGTGCAGCTACCCACATACAACCTCCAGGCACGGGAATTACTTCTCTAGCGTGCCTGAGCCCGACCTTTGCCTTTAATGATAAGGCATTTCATGGCAAGTTGGAAGATACCAGCCGGATTAAAGAAAACGATTTTTCAGAAGGAAAAGCCTCAAGAAATAGTTCGCCCAAGTCACCAACTGAACTAGTGGGCGTAACGACTTTCGGGGCGGAGTGCTTCGGAAGTCCTGCTCAGCAACCAGGGCACCTTTCGTCGTGAAAGCGCCACATTTCGCTTCCTTGGCAGCCAAGTAACTGCTTCGTGTGGCGCATATACTCCCCAATGCGGCACTTCCTTATCGTAATCGCTTCCTTTAAGAAGAAATAAGCGGCGTGGATAGCATTGAAAAGGCTACATAAATATGTAGTATAAGTACGGATGTGATACATCCGCGTGCTTCTTCGATTCTGCAGTCTTACCTTTTACCGTTGGAGACCGCGCATGTTTTATGTTTTGGGACCCCGTGGAGCTTCAGTGCAAAACCTATTGAAATTAAACTGAATGAGAATTTTGTATTATATTTTCAGAGATCAGGCGTTAGTGGTCATATTGTACGAGAGAATAAAAAAACCTATACCTGTTGCCATACTACGGCCTACAGCGTTTTTCCATGGCGTCGCAGACTGCCAAGCCCCACAAATGTGCTTGCATGATCATTCAAAAGTGCTGCGTGTGGCAAACTATGACGCGGCTTAGCCTGATTGTAAGTGTGAACTAGGTATCAACGGTAGAAGCTTGTCGTTTCGAATGCCGGGTGATTACATGCTGTCATCCGAAAAACCATGAAGAGCCTGTGGAAACGTGCAAGATCTTGTTTTTACGGACGCAATACGTACCTGGCAAATTGCACTTTTGTCATCACTCGTCCCGCCCACTCTCCTTTCCATCTTGTGAACAGAGGATCTGCGTGTGCTCCCCCCCCAGCATGATTTCCTTGTCTGGGCCACGAATCCTAATGAACTATCGCGCTTTGTCGAGACGGCGGGACTTGACTGGGATGCAGTGCTCGATCAAAGGAGTTGACAAGGGGGTATTTCAGGACAAGCCGCCCTCTTTCAAAACTTTTTTGCATACTAAAGAGATGCCCTTTTATTTTATTCCAATTTGAAGCTAAAAGCTTTACATAAAGCTTTTAGCTCTATGTAGGAAACTCAAAACATGTTTTCATTTTCGCTGAACGGTTTTTAACAGTACCAAAAAACAAGCATGAAGTACATACTGTTAAGGGTTCGATCTCCCCGTAGGCGACTACAGTTTTGCATTTGGGTTGACTGGCCTACAGGTTGGTGCCACTCGCACTAAATGCAAAATGTCAGATGTCATACTCATCATCAGGATCATTTGGAAGCCAACAAGTGGCCGACAAGCATGATTGCAAAATTTGGTCGCCGCGGCGGGAGATCGAACCATCAGGAGTATCATTCCCACTTTTTTAGTTCCGCGCAAACGAAACATAGTTTTGTGTTCCATACATGCGTCCCTACAATATGCAAGGAGCCGTTTCCAAAAAGCGCGGTCTGCCCTGAAAGGCTTCCATTGAGTATGTCAGGTACCGATGGCGAAGATACTATGGTATCGGGCGCTCATGGCCTTGGCAGAGACATTCAAAACAGGATCGATGGTAGGCCACCTTAGAAAAAAGCCCAGGAGAAGGAAAAAACTGCAGCGAGAACTCAAATTGCTCACATTCTCCTCCAGAATCCCTTCCCCTTTCCAAGACCTAGTCCCTAGTACTGTAAGTGGCTCTCTCAATTGATTACCTCTTCCCTCTCCTAATGACATGAGCGCTTGATATTGCAAGCAAAAATCTTAATGCTCATGACGAATATTGGCGCTCTGGTCACGCCTACCGCGCGTTTGACGCGCGCGAATCGATCGCGAATCGCCGACTATGGCCGCAACCTAGTCTATCCGGCTGAGCTTCCTGATCCTCTTGTCTCATAGTTTCCTATTATCCTTATCCTAATCTCCTTAAATCCAAGCGAACCAGTTATAACATTTCTTTTGTTTTCGGCAAAATTCTCGATCTTGTACTCTTCTAATATCCTAGTCGCCTAATCTGCCAATCAATTACATGTCTTTTTGTTGTGTAATCTCTTAATGTCCTCAAGTTTCGGATCATGAAGCTGGCCTGTGCATTGAGCTTGTGCTGAGAGACTCACTTTCTCCCCTTTTCAAAAAAAAAAAAGGATTTTGAAACAAAGTGACGTGGTCAACATCGAGACCTATGTATCGCTTGTTCGATGGAAGCAGCTTATTGTGCCAAAAGCGGTGATGTAAAACGTTCCTGCGCTTATATACGTGAGCAACATATTGCAGGTGTTACAGCATTCACAGATGTCCAAATAAGAATACAAAGTGCCAGGATAAGAACTAAGTGAATTCATGGAACGTATAGCGAATGAGAATCTAACTAACCAAAATATGTGAAATGGGCAAATCAGAAAAGTCGTGGT